ATATATATATATATATATATGCTATTAAACACATGAGCAGAGATGGGGGCTCCTATTTCTATAAGAAAGAAGAGTCATCATGAGTGGAGAGTGAATTTTGGACACAGTGTCCTTGTACTAAGAATCTACTAGCTCCAAGGTAAGGCTAATATCAAAACACACAGAAAACTCAAGAGAACTCTGCCGATACATGGAAAAGAAACCAGGATCTTGCCTTGGAATCTACACTGAAAGTCATTCAAACCTTTGTTGCTGCTACTGTTACGTATCGAGTTGGAACTGATTCACAGCTGATCCAGTGGCTTTTCAGAGGCAGTCCACCTTTCTCTCATGGAGTAGCTACTGGATTTGAATCACGTGCCTTTGGGATTTGCAGCACAGGTTCTTACCACTAGGCTACCAGAGCTCACTTGCAGACTTCTGGTTTCTAAATTGTGAGAAAATAAATTTTTGTTTGTCAAAGTCACCACCTGTGATATTTCTGTTATAGTAACACTACATAATGAAGACAGTGACCTTATTATATAGCACTATGAAGCACTCTCCAGTCTTGTGTCATCTTCACAATCACTGTTGTTTGAGCTCATTGTTGCCGCCACTGTATCAATACAAGCAGGAGCATAAATGGGTACAAATGTTTCGAAAAGTAATTTAGCATTAATGTAAGGATGGACCTTTATGTACCTCTCCTTCCAGACTAATGCCCAAGAGAAATTTTTCTTAAGAACATCAGAAAGTATGCACAAGAATTTCACAGGAGCACTGTCTCAATAAAAAAAAACCCCAACCCCACAAAAAACCCAAACTGAAAATGAGTCAACTCTAGCAACTAGAGAAGTGATAAATGTACTGTGGTGTATTTATATAATGGAATACACATAGCCATCAGTGCAAATGAACTATAGTTATACGTAACAGTTTATAGATAGATGGTACTAAAATAATGCTGAATGGAAAGAAGTAAATGCAAAACAGATTACATTCAGGAACGTGTAGTTTTATGTTACAAGACAAACCAAAATGGGACTATATGTTATTTTATATGATTTGTTTAAGACTTCTCTTGGTAACATGTACCAACCCATGAGTTCTCATTTCTAACATGTTCCCTGGTCATGCTGATATTAATCTGGGGACCATACTCTGGAAATTATTGTTCAATCATAATTAGCCAAGAGTCTAATAGCACTGACCATGTGAAAGAAATTGCTATCTTTCCTTAATTAAGTTTTAAAATTGGTTTTATGTTTTATTAAATATAAAAACATCAAATACCTACTTTAAGAGTAGAAATTGAACACAGGTACAACTTATGAATGAGTAAAATTATGTTGTTGTTGTTATGTGCCATCAAGTCACCTGTGACTCATAGGGACACTATGTACAACTGCCCTAAACCCTGCTCTATCCTCTGCCAATCTTATTGTTTCTGACACACCTATCCCCATTAACCCAGTTACTGAATCAATCCATTCCACTGAAGGTCTTCCTCTCCTGCGCTGTCCCTCCACCCTCCCAAGCATGACGTCCTTCTCCAAGGACTGGCCCCTCCTTACAACATGTCCAAAGTACGTCAGACGAAGCCTCAGAATCCTTGCCTCCAAGGAACAGCCTGGTTTAATGCTCTCCAGGATGAACCTGTTTGTTCTCTTAGCAATCCATGGTATATTCAGTACTCTTCTCCAGCACCACAGCTCAAAGGGATCAATTCTCCTTCTATCATCCCTGGTCATTGTCCATGCATCTCCGTAAAAAATTTCTTAAGGATTATGTTTGAAAATATTAAAGGGGCTGGGGGGAGAAGGGCAGTTCTGTAGAAAAGAAACATGAGAGTTTTCTCCCTTTGTCCAACCTCAGTCTTACTCCTATCATCCTTTGTGGCTCCTCTACAGCTTCTCTTCCTCTTCACAGGCTTCATCTTTCCTATCCCTTCCCACACACCTTTTCCATCCTGGCTATAAACACCCACTATTAGACATAAACAGACCCATTCAAATATAAATTCACTTATTCACTCACAGAGCATACATACACATTTTCATACCCACTCATTTTTATTAATACCATGCTGAGGTGGAAGAAGAGTGAAACTGGAGTTAATAAGGTAACTGGATTTTGGCAAAGTCTGAGACTGGAGAGAGTTTCGCACAAGGAAAAGAAATAGTAATGCTAAGGCCAAGAGGATTATAGAGGGAGGTTCGAATCAGAGGGACTTATCTTTAGTTCAGAAGGTAACCTGAGGAGTCATGAAGAACATTAACACAGTGTTAATGCAATTTGAGTCAGAAGAAAGGCAGAATCCTTTGCTCACATTAGTGAATGAAAGCCAAACTACAGGATGTGACATTCAGTTATTAGGAAAGGAAGAATAACAGCTCGCAGCTGCTCCCATGTCCCCGAATATCAAGGCATTGTTTCCAGAGACAGGCTTTCTGACTGTTCTCACAGATGGTTATTAAAATCTAGTTCAAAGGAGAAAATCAATAACTCTGGTGAAGAGAGAGTAATTAAATCTCAGACGGATATTATAAATAGAACAGGCAAATCTTCACTCTAGTGATGCTGGTTTCCCATCGTAATAGACCAAAAAGCTAAAACACATTTATCAGTGAAAACCTGTCATTTAGGTTTCATT